ATGGCAGGCGGAAATGACACGTAACGGCTTCAGGCACTTGAGATATGGAGGTTTATGGCCCACAGCCCAAGTTCGTCAAATCCAGGCCCATCAAGATCAGCCCAGTAACGAACTAATTCCTCTTAAGAACTCCCGTCGTAATCTCGTAGTTTACTCTAAATTATGGAATATATTTCATTAAACTAAATTTTTTAGAGCGAGAAAATAATAATCAAACATAACTTCGGTTGCGATTGGAAAAACTAAGCAGTAAAACATTGTCCCAAATAAATTTTTAGATTTTAAGATTTCGTTTGGGACTTTTGACTTTTTTACTGCTTATTAAAACTATTTTTTAGTAAAAAAATAAATAAATTTTTTATACTAGAAAATTATTTTAAGAAGCAATAAGACATTCATCTCAAACTAAGCCTTAGTTTGATTTAGGATAGCTTTCAATCTTTCATGCTTTTTAAAACAGTTTTTATAATACAAAAATATCTTGTTCAAAAAATATTTGTATTCAAAAGCTATTTTATAAAGCTATAATTAATAAAGCTTCCCAAGCAAAGAGTTTGGTGGGGGTCATTGTAGTTTTTGTCAATGTGATAGTAAATATTGGGAGAAAAAAAAAATTAAGTTAAAAAATAAGATTCTTAGCACATAATTTTTTTAAAAATAATGAAAAAAAAATAGCCAAATTGAATAGCTTTGCTATCACCTTTATTTGCAAATTGCAGTCAGCACCACCAAAAATATGTCTTCTATATTTTTGGGTGAATAATTTTGTAAATTAAATGTTCTTACAACATCTTAAATTTAATTGGTTTAATTATATAAGAAATTTGGTCAGTTAATTTTTGTTATACATTATTTTTTTGTGAGCGGAAATTGATTATATAAGAAATTTGGTCAGTTAATTTTTGAATTTTTATATTATAATTTTAAAATTACATGTTAAACTTTCAACAAATATTTATTAAAGTTTTCCAAATAAAATATATGAAAAAAAAATTCATGAAAAAATTTATTGAACGATTGTAAAATAATTTATTTATTATAATTCCGACAAAATTTTAAGAAAATTTTATGTCTTGATAGTTTTTAATGAATCTTTGATAAGAAAGCATTGAAAATAGCTAAATTTATATTAAATGTGTTGTGTGAGTCTATGTATAATTTGATTGTGTTGATCAATTATATTATATTGTTACATCGGACCTCAGTTTAATTTATCGTGATCGTTGGTGGGGCTCTCCACCTAATTGTGTTTGGATGCTTTGCATACGATTTTTTGTTTCCCTATAGCACCTAGGTGTTGTGTAATTGAGCGACAATGTTGTATACCCGAGCAATCGGCGTTGTGCACCCAAGTGGCTGGCGTTGTGTTCTCGAGCGTCCAAATGCTGTAAGTTTGCTAGGAGAAACGACATATAACTTAGCGCCGCCACAATGCTCTAAATTTAGCACCATAACAGTCTAAATTTTGCGCCATAGCGCTGTAAACCAGACTGAAGATAGAGTGTTGAGCGCTGCTTCGCTCCAAGCTGGCACAGCAGCGCTTTGAGCCTTTGAGGCTACCTAGTTAGTTGCTTTTCTCATTTTTCTCAACGGTGGAATCCCTTCGTGGATTGATATTGTTTTTCCTCTTTTGTTTGAGTGTAAAAACAATGTAAGTGAGAAGAGAAGCAATGAGAAAGTGAAAGAGAAAAAATATTCGCTTTGTATATGAACTAGATATAAACTGATTGAGTGTAGGACTTTTATTAGGCACTAGTTTTAATGCACGTGCATTAAATACACATGAATAAAAATTAAAAACTAAAAATTATATTATTAATATTTTAATTATATTATCATTATTTAAAGTGAAAAAGTGTTAAGTTTATAAAAGAAGAAAATAAATTCTAAACTGGAGAACAATTTTAACAAAGCTAATTATTAAGCTGATAATGATTTAGCTTGTTCTCATACTTGATTTTTATGGTTCTCAAAATAGCTTCGAATTTATATAAAACATAAGAATGAATTTCAATATTGTGTATAAATCAAAATAGAAAAATATTACATATTTTTGGCATAAAACCAAACATCTCAAATAACAAATGTTCACTTTCTTGACAAGTGCACACCATAACATTAATTGAAAATTTAGCAAGATTCTAACCTTAGTGAAGGATATTAGGACTGAAGAGCTGAAATATTAATTATTTATTAAAAAATTCTACCAAAAAATCAAAAGAATGGATTTGAACATTTCCAAAAGGCATCTATAATAAATCCAAAATTGTAAATGCTGAACATCAGGTTTAGCTGATGTTATATTAGTTAAAATATAAAATCTTTATAGCATATAAAAAAAGAGGGATAATTATTATCAAAAAAGGGTGGCCATTAGATCCTCATGATCAATTTTCTATTTTAGGCATTTAAGATGGAAGAAAGAAATATTTCAAATACTATTAAATCAACAACAATATGTACCTACATTAATTTTTTTTATATAACGTAGGAGAAGATCGTTCAACATCACTTACTAAATAATATTTAGATTTAAAAGAAAGTAGATAATTAATTTTTTGCATCCAAATGGATAATTACTAAATAAAATTTAAAATTACAATATTAATAATTTAAAATTATAAATAATATTAATTTATTTAAATTTTATTGTTTATAAATAAATATTGAAATAAACAAACTTGTTATTTTATGATGAAAATTAGTAGGGTGTACAGATGAAAATAAAAAATTTCATGCACTTTATGATAATCTAATATATTATCAGATTGCTTGATACATATGATATGGTAGCATTAAATTTATACAACTGTTTACATGGCAACAAATTATGATCATAGCTAGCTAACACATCAACCAAACATTACCATTAAAGCAATTTACTAAAAGAGATTAAGGGCACTAAGATACTAATAAAATCTTAGAAGTTTTAAAACAATATTAAAAAGTAAAAGCAATTCATAGACAATATTGAAATATATCATTACCTAGCTAGGCCTGCAAATATTAAAGTTTTCTTATATGGTTTTTCAATTTCTATCATTCATCACTTTCTATAAAGATAATAGATAATAGTGCTCTTAATTAGTAATAAATTCTATTTGAGAAGTGATTAATTTAAGACGGATCTGTTCTCATACAAGACAGCTCTATTCTCATACGCCAAATAAAAATTTATTTAAATCATATGCTGCTTAATTAATAATAAATTCAATTTGAGAAGTTATTAGTTCAAGACAGCTCTATTCTCATGCGCCAAATAAATTCATTTAAACCATATGCTTAATTAATATTGCTTGATTAATTATAACATAATGCTTAATTAATATTTAATTATAATGTACTAATGCTGCATTCTTTTAAACCACTTACTAGTGCTGCATTCATTCGTTCCGTTTCCTCTTTTTTGCCTGCCTTGTTTCCTCCGTTCGCTTGCCCGAGCTTCATTATTTTTTTACTCGTTATATTTCATTTTATAAAATTATTGCTACAAATAATTTTAAAATCAAATTACCATTGAGAAAGTTGATAATATAAAACATTTGATAATATTAAACTTCATTTATGATTTTTTTTATCATGATTGTAATCAATATGTCACATTATTCTTTTTATATGAGATAAGTTTTAAAAATTTTATCTTTTATCATAGTGGTTTATATTTATATTTTAAAAAATAAAAAATAATTTATAAAATTTAGTTTTCTTTTAAAATATAGAAGAAAATATAATTGTACGTCAATGAGACAGGTAGTAACCTAACCTTTTAGAGTCGGGGTACTCGAGCCCTCAACTCTATCAATGGTAAGATATCTGTGCATGGCGAAAAGTCTTGCAATGAGCCAATGATGAAAATCCATTACATAGAATTCATGAATTACATTTGTTTCACCTTCATCAAAACATAGATCACCAACGCTCAATATGTATGTAATCCTATTGCTCATTTGAAGGAATAATTATTATGTCTGGTCAAATTCGAACGTATATGAATGTATGCCAAGCAATACCGAGTTTCAGGTGACGTGGCGCATGATTATTGGTCCATGAACGCGTTCGGTGACCGGACGTAATATTTGTTCCATCTAAAGGGAGAGATTATCTTTCACATGTAATTATTGTAATACAACGAATGCTATTCAAGAGAAAAGACAAACTTAATTCAGAGTTAATGTTCATGGGATCAAAATAATAACATATGCCTTAAAGTAAATGCCTCATCACTGAATAAAGAACAAAGACAAAAAAGAAAATAATTTAAGGATGAAAAAGGAGTGTTTCTATAGATCTTTATCTAGAGAGTCATATGCACCAAGCACATAATTAGCTCAGTTGGGTTTATAACATAGACAAAATCTTGTTCCAGATAACAATGATGCCACAAGCATCAAGAAAGCTGCATGTAAGTTAATCAAAGCTATAAATTTGGCCTTATCGCCCACCATGAAGGAGCAAGCACTAAAGATTGTTGAAAGTTTATCAGTTAAGGTTTCTTTATACAATATTATTCGAGGTTCCTTAATCAAAAATCAACTTATGTTTACATAATATTAAAACATCATGCTTGATTTAAAAAATGAGCTAAAGCTAAACTATAATTAATTACTTTTATTAGTTTAATGTCAACTCACATTAATTTATTTTTTTCATTAGCCAAATTGCTCAACTCTACTTAACACATAATTTGACTTTTTTTTTTTTTTTTCCATTGTTTGAATGTTAGAATATTTTTTATGGCTCACTCCAAAACTAACTAATGTGAATAAAAATAAAGCATATTCATTTGTCTAAGAATAACAAATATCAATAAAAAGCCAAAAGCTTATCATGCAAATATTTATATAATCAAATAACAATAATTTTAGAAGAAACAATAATTTATTTAAATAACAAAAATTTTAGAAGAAATCATTTTAAAATAATCATGCAAATATTTATATAATCAAATAACAAATATCATAAAAAGCCAAAAGTTTATCAAAATTCAACTATACCACCTATCACCAAACTGAAAAACCCATATTCATGTCTTGGTCGTGCCCATAGAACCAGCCGACCGGAGCCGGTGTTAAATATAATCCATTATACCCACCCAAATACCAACCTCCATAGCCCAATTGTGGCGGAACGCCTCCCCTTGCCACCTTCGTATCTATGCAGAGAATCTCGAGCTCCTCGCGCCTGTTCGTAACGCCCCTTCGCAACTCCTCGAGCCGCTTCTGGAAGCTCTCTAGATCCTCTACACACATTTCATGCACCTCCACGTCGCACGACAAACCCGACCTGCCCCGCTGGGCCGCAACCCCAGCCTCCAACTTCGCCCTCATTCTCCTCGCCTCCTCCAACTTCTCCGTCAACCCTGCATGTAACTTCTAAATAATTAGGTTGATTTATTTGTTAATTAAACCACTTGAATTTTTAAAGATCTTGTACTTTACTAATATTTTATTTGAAACATGTTATAATTTTTATTTGATCGTAATTTTTTCATTATTTTTAAGAAATTTATGCGTTAAAAAAATGCTTTCTACTATAGCTTTTTTAAAAACTGTTTTGTCATAATAATTTTATAATAATCTTTATAAAAATATTCTAATAACAAATTTTCTAAATATAAAAATAAGTATATTGAAAAAATTTGACTCAAATCTAAATCTACTTTTTTTTTTTGGAAAATTATTAAGTGGACTAAGTCCTGAACATAAATCGTACTCACCTGCATGCTCTTGGTTTAGTTGAAGCAATTTTTGACCTTCAACGAACATCCCACACAATGGCCCCACCACTTCAACGTCGTTGTTGTTGCCACCGCCACCGAGGAATCGTTTCGTTATATAGTCAAGCGAAGGGTGGCCGAACGAGAAAGGCTTACCTGCCGGTGAGAACACCACTATACCAATCTCCGCCCCACATAGAATTGAAAGCTCCGTAGCCTTCTTGAACAAGCCCGCCCGCCGCTTCGAAAAACAAACTTGTCTAGCCTCCTCATTCTCTATCCTCTTCATAGCAATCTTTTGTCTTCCCATACTCTGTCTCTTCTTCCTCACCATCATCATCTAAAAAAAAATCATGACCAACAAAGAAAAAAGATGAATAATACAACTGCAAGATACAACTAATCAATGGTTCGCATTTGCCTATAACCAATAGATAATGCCAATAATATGTAACACGTCATGTATGGACAGTGAAACAATAATTACAAATTATTCAGATCCATAATTCTCGGTAAACCAACAACCATCAAAGATAAGTATGCGAAACCACACTCTGATTTAATGGATTTCATTCTAGCAATCTAAAGTTTATTGAATTGTTGGGATTGCTTCACTTCTCCTATCTAAAAATAAACAAAGTAATTCGAGAGCATTTGAACTCTCCAAAGAATTGTTCCATTCTAGTGTGTTTTCAACTTCTTAGTAAAAAAGCCGAAGAAGTCAACAATCTCATTAAATTGTGACTCTGGTTTACAACAAATGCACATTTTTTTAGTTTCAAAATTTCCTTTTCCAACAAAGCTATAATATCCTCAGCTTATGACAGCATCTATTTTAAGGAAATCTAATAATAAATCATTGCTTTCATATTTCACAAATACCAATAAACCATTATCACCATCCGCCATTTCTACAATATATGATTTCCCATTGTTCCTCAAGTGTTTCAAAAATATTCCACATCATCTACTGGAAAGTAAATATCTCTTGAATCATTTAAGAAGCTCCCATGACCATTAGTTTTCAATTCCATTACCATTTTTAACAAGTTCAAAATCATCAATGAATTCTAAAAGATGGAAGCTGACTCTGCCTAATTAACTCTTACAGACTAAGCTTTTTCGACACTATTTTCTTTTAGTGTCTTCTAAGGGAGCTCGTGTATCTCAAATAAAAACAAATCATATCCAATAAAAGCGACCATTGATTTGAGGCCAATGCTATAATAACAATTAAAAGCTCTATGTTAAGCATTTCCTTGTATAAACATTCACCAATTTTATGTCAATTCCAACACCAACATAAATTAGATTATATCTTTAGCGAACAGGATTTAAATTTACTTCAAGAGTGAAATTTGTTTTTTACAAAGAGATTAACAGAATTCAGCCAATGGCCCTAACAATCAAATTAAGAGAACAGAATAAAAGCATGGTGGGAGTGCAATAGATGAAATGAAACAGAGAATAGATGACTTAACATTTACAGGTATAACTAAAAGCAGCATTTTAAAAGTAATTGTTCTCTTGATAAAAAAATTAATAAGCTAACAAGAAAGAATATACGGTTACAAATAAACAGCCTTGAGTTCAAATCACAAGTATGATACAATCAAAAACAGTCAAATTAGAAGCTAAAAACCATTTCAAGATTCAGATTTAGTTTCTTACATAAAACATAGAATTATCAACAGCATATGGAGATTAATGCGCTGTCTTCTAGGTTAAGATTATGTTCTATAGAATCATAGCTTCCAAAACATAAACATACATAAGGCAAGAGCAGCGGTCTTTTTCCTCCTATCTTGCTCTGCCCGAAGAAACTTAACCACGCGGGCGAAGCCCGAGCGATTTCCGATCCTACAAGCGGAGAAGAAGGGGAAGATTTCTTCTTCGAAGCCCTAGAGACTTCCGATCAGACATGAGAAGAAGAAGCCGAAGAACCTCCCAAATAAATAGGAATTCGAAAAGGCGTAAAATCAGAAGGTGCGAATTAAACAAAAACAGCGGCAAGATCGCTTATGGCAGAATCAAATCACATGGTATAAATTTCAGCGGAATTTTAGGGGATGTTTGGTATCGGATTTACAGCGGGATTTAAGTCGGATTTACGCTAAATCCAGCCAAACAGTTTTTGTGCGCGCGTAAAATCCCGGGATTCTGTAAATCCCGGATTTACGGATTTACGGCTTAAATCCGGGATTTAGTAAATCCGAGCGGTAGCCGGATTTAACGGGATTTATCCGAAGAAGCGCGCGAAAGGGAGAAAGTTACCTTCACAGCCAGCAAGCTCCCGTTTTTGCTTCCGATCAAAATGTCGTAACTTCCGATCCGACAGCAAGGGAAAGTCGTCGAACAGCCACGAATGAGCCGAAGATGAGACGCGTGCAATCTCTACACCAGTGAAGCCGAACAGCAAGGAAAAAGGCAAGATGAAAGGCAAAACCCTCACGCCTCTAAGGTATTATTGATTAACTTAATTAATATAATTTAAATTATTAATAATTAAATACATTAATTATATACATTAATTAATAATTTAACTTAATTGCATAATTAATAATTAAATATTAATACAATTTATCTTAATTAATATAACTCAAAATATATATTATTAAATATATAATCAATAGTGTAAATAATAATTAACGAATAATTTGTATTTAACATGTTATTACTTTTTATTA